CAGACACTGTCCTGATTGAAGAAACTTTGGTGACTGCCAACTGTCTAAAATTACAGACAAGAGAAATTCATTTTTATTTTTATCTGGGTTTGAAAATGGCAATGTTAAATGATAGCTTACTGCAGTGAATTATATTTTTTAATTTCACGTTTGCAGCAACTTCTCAACAGATCACTGAACAGTGAAATATTCTTGGAATAAATCATTATTAGCTAGTACTATTCTCAGCTGTTATAAGTTCAGTCTGAGTAAATCAATGTTAAGATGATTAAGAATAATAACTTTATGGTCTTAATTCAAGTTTATCAGAAGAACTGCAGGCCTCATAAAAATAATTACTGTGTATAGGTTATCATAACAAGCACCCAGGCAAAACACAGGAGGATATTGGGAAAGAAGACAAATGCCAATAAAATTCACATCAATGGGCGCAAAGGTATTGGGGCTTAGCTAAGCCTGTCAAAGACATATACCACTGCTGTCAATTCCTGTGCTTGCACCATCGTGTACACAATGCACACAGATGGAGACAGCAAGATTTTGAACTGAACCATTTAACTAAGCCTCTGACAAAAGCAGAAGATTTAATAAATACTAAGATAAATCAGAGTTCACTAAACACGCTCCTTCCATTTACATACCTAATTTAGACATTTTCTTATATCTCAAAACATCAAAGGAAGGAATTAAATCATTGTTAAAGGTGGGAATAATATAATGGGTGAATATCCTTACTAATCCATAACATTAAATGTGGCATATTTTTGCCTTTTTATTCAAAAAAAAGAAATGCCAGTTGTGTGATTGTCATCGCTACCTGTACACAATAGACTTTGCATCATTCATGTATTCTGACATTTGAAGTAACAAAGTGTTATCCACTTTATTACAGCCTGGACTCTGTCTGGTAGAAATGAATCAATCCCTGTTCCAGGTCCTTTATCTTCCTCTTTTACAAAATTTATTCTATTCACTTTTCAATGATGCTCACAGGTCCACTTCAATATCTGCATGTCTTGTGGCACCCCTTAACTTAATGACACTGTTTTTCTTCCCTTCACCCTTGATTTTTCCAGTGAGAGTCCTTAGTCTCCATCCTGTTATTCTCCATTTATATAACAGGAGATAACTTTTTCACTATTTATCTACAATAAGGTCTCTGGGTTTCACTCATAGATTGTTGGCACTCACTATACTGCTGCTTCTAAAGCTCCTGACTTGCCAAGAAATGATGTGTGTTGCCCCAACCTTCCAGTCCCCTCTCCTACTGCTGCTCAAACCTTCAGCCCTGAACTGGCACGGTGGCTCAGTGGTTAGCACTGCTGCTTCACAACACCAGGGACCTGGGCTTGATTCCAAGCGTGGGTGACTGTCTGTGCGGAATTTTTACATTCTACCTGTGTCTGTGTGGGTCCCTGCTGGGTGCTCAGGTTTCCTCTCACAGTCCAAAGATGTGGATTGGCCATGTAAAATTGCCCGTAGTGTTCAAGGATGTGCAGTCTAGGTGGGTTAGCCATGGGAAATGCAGGACTATAGGATCGGGCGATGGGTCTGGCTGGGATGCTCTTCAGACCATCAAGTGTGGTGTGTTGCCTCCCTGTTGCCGGGTTTGGGGGGGGGTGTGGTCAAGGATATCTGAGTGTGCACAGAATATTCTGAAGGGGGAGGGTGAGCAGCCAGAGGTACTAACAACATCAACAGAAAGAGAGATGAGGAAATTTAGGGCGTTAGGTAGGAAGTTGAAAAGCAAGGCTTCTTGGGTTGTAATCTCAGGATTGCTTCCTGCGCCATGTGCTAGTGAGGTCAGAAATAGGAAGATAATATAGTTGAACGTGGGCTAAAGAGCTGGTGTAGGAAGGAGGGATTCAGATCACTGGAATCGCTTCCAGGGCAGGTGGGACCTGTACAAGAAAGATGGACTGTACCTAAACTGGAAGGGCACCAATATCCTGGCAGGGAGGTTTGCTGGTGCCACTTGGAAGGATCCAAACTGATGTGTAATGAGGAGTATTTGAAGTGAAGAAAGTGGCTAAATCAAGTAAGTCTAGTAGGAAGAACAGGCAAGGTCATGTTAACAAACATGGTAGGATTAGCAGTCCGAAGTGTATTTTATTTAAACGCAAGGATAAAACAGATGCGTTTTAGAGCCTGGGACTATGGGACTATGATATGGTAGCCATTACTGAAACTTGATAGAGAGAAGGGCAGGACTGGCAGCTTGGTAGATTGGCTTGTGCCATATTTGGACTGGGGCTCCTCCATGCTCCTTCCCAGTGGTTACAGGGTGTCTGCCCATTCTGCCAATGCACCAAGCAGATTGGAGCACATTGTCACCTGCATTTCCCTACAGTAGGACTCCAAGATAAATAAAGAAGGAAAATGATTATAAAAGAAAGCTAGATAGAATTATAAAATGATGGTAAGGCTTTCTTTAGAGATTTTGGAAAAAAAAACTTAAATAGGTGAACGTCAGTCCTATAAAAAGTAAGTTTGCGAAATTACGGAAATGGAAAAGAAGGAGATATCAGCTGAATTGAATGGGTATTTTGCACTTGTCTTCACTCAACAGGTTACTCCTGCAATACTCTCCAGCTGCATGAGATCACTATAGTCCTGAGGAATCACTGTATTGACTTTGGATTGAAATGTTAAACTAATATCGCATTGCTTTCTTCAATTAATATCATGCAGCCATTTTGAACAGGAGCTGTGAATTTTCCCCAGCGTCCTCACCATTATTTTTATTCATTTTTGGGATTTGAGTATTGCTAGCCAGGCTAGCATTTGTGGTCCATCTCGAATTGTCCTTGAGAAAGAGAGAGTAAGCCTTCTCTCGAACTGCTTCGGTCCATGTATCATCAATGCACTCACGGTGCTGTAAAGAAAGGAGTTCCAGGATTTTGACCCAAGGTCAGTGAAAGGAAGAAGCTAATTTCCCAGTTGAGGTGGTATGTATTTTGGAGGGTACTTGCGGGTGTCTCTGCTGCCCTTGTCCTTCTAGATGGTGGGCACCATGTGTTTGGAATGTGCTGGTGAAGGAGACTTGGTGTGTTGCTGTGTCCCTCCCTCATCAAAAGTTACAAAGATTTACCTTGTTGTTTGTGGGGGTTCACTGAGAGAAGATTTCTATTGGAGACATGATAGACATTTAGAACATGATACAATACAGCACAGAAACAGGCCCTTCAACCTACCGTGTCTGTGCTGACCATGATGCCATTCTAAATTAATCCTATCTACTTGCACATGGTCTGTACCCCTCTATTCTCTGCCTGTTCATGTGCCTTAATCTAAATTACAAAGATATTTCATTGGGTTTTTTTAATTCATTCACGGGATGAGGGCGTCGCTGGCTAGGCAGCATTTATTGCCCATCCCTAATTGCCCAGAGGACAGTTAACAGTCAACCACATTTGTGGGTCTGGAGTGACATGTAGGCCAGACCAGGTAAGGATGGCAGTTTCGTTCCCTAAAGGACAGTAGTGAACCAGAGGGTTTTTCCAACAATCAACAATGGATTCACAGTCATCATTAGATTCTTAATTCCAGATATTTTATTGGATTCAAATTCCACCATCTGCCATGGCAGGATTCAAACCCGGGTCCCCAGAACATTTCTGAAGAAGGGTCTAGGCCCGAAACGTCAGCCTTCCTGCTCCTCTGATGCTGCTTGGCCTGCTGTGTTCATCCAGCTCTACACCTTGTTATCTCTTTCCCCAGAACATTATCTGGGTCTCTGGATTAATAGTCCAGTGATAATACCACTAGGCCATCGCCTCCCCTGAATTGGGAGAAGAAGTTCATGAGAAGTAACATATCCAGTTCTGAACCAAGAGCTAGTGCACTGTCATGAATAAGCAGGAAATTGAGAAGTATGTCCTTGGAGACAGGAGTTTGATTGCTTTTGTTGTTCCTAACAGTGTGCAGTCACAGTATGCTAGTCATGGAGAGGGTAAATATTTGAATATAGTGGATGGTGTGTGAATTAAGTGAGTTGCTTTGTACTGGATTGTGTCAGGATTCATGAGTGTTTTTGGACATAGATCAGTTCAGGCTAACAGAGACCACTCAATCAAACTCCTGACCAATGTTTTCTAGGTGGTAAAGAGTCTCTGGAAGGTCAAAAAAATTTACAACTGACCACAGAATACATAATTTCTAACCTGCTTTAGGAGGCATGACTGATGTGACTGGTCCAGTGCAAATGACTACTATTCCAAATCTATTCCGAAGATTACCATCATCCTCTTTTAGAACCCAAATCACGCCAACAACTTCTACAAAGATTGGATTTGTGACGGTTTTCCTTAAACAGTAAGCATCACTATTAAAGACATGACTTAAGACACAGACAAAACATCATTCATCACGTCAACAGATGTAAAAAACAAATAATCAAGATGTCAGCCTCAGTTGGTGATTTATGACCTGCAGCAGGAAATTCTATAAATGAAGAAGCTAAAACATAAAAGAAATTAATTACAACCTTTGAAACTATTTGCCCATTTCTAAAGCGCCAAAAGAGAAGCTCTCCAAAGAATAAAGTAAGACCCATGGATTTGAAATGATGCTGTGGGAATTATCCAGCATGAATACTAAAACATTTGTCTGCATCTCATTTGTCTGCTGTCTCCGGGAGGCACTAAATTGCATCAAATTATTGAGTTAACAGCTTCACCAAAGTAACGGTGAAGAAATTCAGACAGTTATGTAAAGTATGTGTGTGCTGTTTTTAAAAGTAATTTGTGAGATGTAGATATTGCTAGTTAGACTGGTCCTAATTGCTTATCCCTAATTGCCTGAGAAGGTGGTGACAACACTGATAGTGGTCAGTGATAGCTGACCAGGACTTGCAGGGATAGTTAAAAGTTAACAAAGTTAGCGATATTGTCCCTGGTCAGGATCATGTACAGGCCAGACCATGGAGGGACATTAGTAAACTTGTTAGATTTTTCCGATAATCTGACCGTTCCTTGGCCATTTTACCTGATACTAACTCATCACCAAATCCCATTTGCTTCACTATCCCAATGCTTTGCTACCTCCTCCTGTTTTGAACATCTCATTTTCTTCTACCCTGCTCAACTCTCATCTCAAAGCTTCATTCTCCATTGTCCACCCTAGCACCTTGAACATTCTCCCACCCTCAGCCTCTGCATTAATTGCATCTTAAATGCATTCACCTTGAAGATTGACACTCCTAACATTTCTGGACCTTAGTCTTTGCAAGTGGTTTAGCCCAAAAAGTGAAGTCTCATCTTGTAATGTTTTCTCACTCACCTTCTATGTGAGCAATGGGCCTGCTTGGCAGGCCTTCCTTCAGATACTGAGCGTTGCTGCAGTCACACTTATCCAGGCAAGTGGAGAGGAATCCATCACGGTCCTGACTTGTACCTTCCTCAGCCTAGTGTCTTAGGACCAACCATCTTCAGCTGTGTCTTCATTGACCTTCCCTCTGTCATAAGGTCAGAAACGGGGATGTTTGTCGATGATTACATGGAACATTGAACTTAGAACAGCACAGGAATGGGCCCTTCAGCCCATGAGATTGTGCCAAAAATGATGCCAAATTAAACTAATCCCTTCTGCCTGCCCTTGGTCCATATCCCTCCATTCCTTGCATAATCATGTGCTTAACCAGAAGTCCTTTAAAAACCCCTTTTGTATCTGCTTCCACCACCAGCCCTGGCAGTGTGTTCCAGACTCCTACCACTGTCTGTGTAAAAAACTTGCCCCTCACATCTCCTTTGGACTATCCCCCTCTCACCTTAAATGTATGCCCCCTAGTGTTAGACATTCCAAATCTGGGATAAAGATTTTGACTGTCAACCATATCTATGCATCGCATAATTTTATAGACTTTTATCAAGTCTCCCCTCAGCCTTCGCTGCTCCAGAGAAAACAATTCGAGTTTTTCTAACCTCTCCTCATAGCTCATACCCTCTAATCCAGGAGGTATCCTGGTAAACCTCTTCTGCATCCTCTCCAAAGTCTCCACATCCTTCCTGTAATGTGGTGACCAGAATTGAACGCAATATTCTAAGTGTAGCCTAACCAAAGTCTTATAAAGCTGCAACATGACACCCTGACCCTTGTACTCAATTCTCCAATCAATAAAGGTAAGGATGCCATACACCTTCTTTACCACCCTGTCTACTTGTGTGGCCACTTTCAGGGAGTCATGGACTTAAACCCCAAGATCCCTCTGTACGTCAATGCTACTCAGGGTCCTGCCATTAACTGTATACTTTTCCTTAACATTTGATCTCTCAAAGTACAGCACCTGACACTTACACAGATTAAACTCCATCAGCCATTTCCCCACCCCTATGTGCAGATGATCTATATCCTGCTGTATCCTTTGACAACCTTCTACACTATCCCAACTCCACCGATCTTTGTATCATCTGCAAACTCACTAACCCACCCATCTACATTTTCATGCAAGACAACAAGGTGCAGAGCTGGATGAACACAGCAGGCCAAGCAGCATCATAGGAGCAGAAAGGCTGACGTTTCAGGCCTAGACCTCTATGGATCCATATGGAACACCACTAGTCATGGACCTCCAGACTGAGAAACCCTTCCACCACTACCCTCTGCCTTCTATGGGCAAGCCAATTCTGAATCCTCATTGCCAAGTCACCATTGATCCCATTCATCTTAATCTTCTGAATGAGCCTATCATGAGGGGCCTTGTCGAAAGCTTTACTAAATTCAATGTAAACAACATCCACTGCTCTACCCTTATCGATCTCCTTCATCACCTCCTCAAAAAATTCAATCATTAGTAAGACATGACCTGCCCTGTACAAAGCCATACTGACTGTCCCTAATTAGGCCATGCTTTTCCAAATGTGTGCAAATCCTAACCCTAAGAATCCTGTCCAATAGCTTTCCAACCACCAACATGAGACTCACCGGTCTATAGTTTCCTGGGTTATCTGTATTTCCCTTCAGGAACAGAGGATCAGCATTAGCTGCTCACCAGGCCTGGCAGCATCTGTGGAGAGAAATCAGGGTTAATGGTTCACAACTGGTGACCCTTCCTCTGCCACATAAATATCTTGTTTACAAGAGCAAGTCAGAGATTAGGAATACTGAGGCAAGTAACTTATCTGCTGACTCCCCAAAGCCTGCCCACCATCTACAAGGCACAAGTCAGGAGTGTGATGGAATACTCCCCACTTGCCTGGATGGGAGCAGCTCCAACAACACTCATGAAGGTCAACACTATCCAGGGCAAAGCAACCCACTTGATTGGCTCCACATCCACAAATATCCACTCCCTCCACCACTGACGCTCAGCAGCAGCAGTGCATGCCATCTACAGGATGCACTGCAGAATTTCACAGATGCTCCGTAGGTAGCACCTTCCAAATCCATGAATACTACCATCTGGAAAGACAAGAACAGTAGACACATGGGAACAACACCCCAGTTCCCTCCAAGCCACTCAGCGTTCCGACTTGGAAATGTATTGCTGTTCTTTCAGAGCCACTGACTGAAATCCTGGAACACCATCTCTAACAGCTGGGTGTATGTCCTGCAGCAGTTCAAGAAGACAGCTTACCACTACCTTCTCTTGGGCAATTAGCGATGCATCCTGGCTCACATCCTGTGTGTCAGATATAATCTACCCTCATTTCATTTCAAAGTGATATCTGAAATAACTCCACAGAAGCTAGTATCCCATCACCAAGTCACCCTTTATTTACATGTGGAAAGTCCTTGACACTGATCCAGCTCCCTCAGAGTGAGCAGGATGTCTGACTTTCCTGTTTATATCTGTCAGCCAGGACCCCCTGATTGGACCAGATTAATAGCCCCAAATAAGGAACTCATATTCTATGAGGTCTACCTGACTGACCTCATTGCAATCACTGCAATATCCTTGGAGATGATTGACTGATTTTATCATGTCACATTTGGTCTGTTCCACCGCCATGAGTGGGATTGGAATCTCTTGAATTGTGACTCTAAAAAGTTCTGTGCCTCTGGTCCTTCCTGCCAATACTGGACTGCTGGTGTCTACAGTAAAAGATTTCATGAAGCTATGATGAGTTTGTGCATTGGTACTACAATATGATACTGACAAGGTATGGAGTTAGTGACCTGTTATACACTTTGTAACAGTCACCCGGTCTCTCATAGGCTGAACAACGAGCAACTACTTGTTGAGTGGTTTTCATTTTGTTCATGAGCAATGCAGTGCATTTTAACACTAGCTGCTGTGCTGATTTTAGCTTTTGTGTGTGTTCCTGCCTCTATAAGGATTTATAATTCTATTCATTATGGAAACTTCTGATCTTTCGACAGCCCACAGGGCGTATAAGGCTAACAATACAGAAAACATGGTGACCTTCTGAAATTTACCTTCCTCTCAATGACTCTGAGCCTCACTAATGTGTCTGCATTTGTGTACCTTCCTGACACTTTCTTTCGAACCAGTGTTGCATTGTTGCATCATCTTTTAGCATTTGAGAGGAGGCCCTGATAATCAAGGACGGCTGAGAAAAGGACATTAGTGAGAAAGGATATTGGCTGAGAAGATCAGGAAATAAAATCAGCCTGGATGGAGATGAGCTATCACAGGAGTCAGAAAATGCTGGTGGAAATACTTTACGGGTCTCATCACTGCAATTGTGAAATTGAACAGTGCATTAAACTAGAAATTATTGGAGCATGTAACTTGGAGGCAAGGTAATGGTTATGGGTGACTTTAATCATCATATAACTTGGCCAGATCAAACTGGAAAATACAGTCTGAAACATGAGTTTGTAGAATGCTTTTGTGCCAATCAAAAGCAAGAATACTAACCTTAAAGAAAACAAATGTAATACTGCTATTCCAGAACTAGTTGCATCCCCAGTTAAGCTGTTCTAAGAAAGCTGCAGGTACATCTACCCAGCAATATGGAAAATTACCCAGATATGTCCTATCCACAAAAAGCAGAACAAGTCCAACCCACCCAATTGCCATCCTTTTGGCCTCTTCTCGATCATCAGCAAGGAGATGGAAGGGGTCATCAGCCAATTTAGCAGACGGCACTTGCTCAGCAATCACCAGCTCATTGATGCTCAGTTTATATTCCACTAGGGCCACCCAGTTCCTAATCTCACTGGAGCCATGGTTCAAATATAAACAAAACAGCTGAAGAAACTTGACACAATAGATAGTGAGAAATTGTTTGTACTGTTTGGGCAATCTGGAAAGCTGGGTCAAGCCCTAATATAAGGGATGATAATGCAGCATTTTCTTCACTCAATCAGTTGTGAATCTTTGAAATTTTCTACCCACAATGTTGTGGTTGTTCTATAGTTGAATAGATTTGAAGCTGGAAAATTGTAGTCTCCCAGAGAATCAAGGTCTTAGGGAGTAGGTACAAAAGGGGAATTGTAGGCAGTGATCAACCATGATCATGTCGAATGGCAGAGGAGTCCCAGTGGGCTATCTGGGCTAGGTTTGCTCCTACATCCTGTGCTCTTATGTTCATAAGGTAGAGACAAGCCTAACTGAATAGATGAAACCTAAAAACATCTATGGTTATAATGGCTAACAAACGCCTCCAATTTCTTTCTGTTCTGATTATGTTCCAATCTTAAAGAAGCAAATATTATCGCACATAACAAAGTATGAAACAAATGTAGAATGTTTTACTTTTAATGCATTCAATATTTCCTCATTGTTTGTATTTTGCAAAAAGAACTGTAAGGAGCCAAAGCTCAACAGTGATGCTTTTTCACTAAAACTCACTCAATTTCCTCTCCACATTGTTGAGTGTGACTGGTGAGGCAACAGCTTATTGTTACCAATGTCGCATGGTCATCGCTTCGGTCTCCGCTCCAGGGATTTGAAGACAGACTCAAGGCTGACAGCTCAGTGCAGCACTGAGAACCTCCTGCACTGTCAGGGGAACAGCCTTTTGGCTAAGATACCAAACACATTTCCTTGCTGTCTTCACAGGTAGATGTAAAGAATCCCATGGAGCCATAACAGAACAAACGTCAGAAAATTACCTTCTGTGTCCTGGTCAATATTTATCCATCAAGCAATTAAGAATGGCAGAGAATCTTGCCATTATAATATTTCTGTTTGTGGTTTGTTATGAATGAATTGGCTGTTAGCTTGCCCATTTATTAGATTGAATATAATTTGAAAATGTTTCATTATATTTTGGGATGTCTTTAGGTTGTGAAAGGTCCATGCTTCCTTTTAAAAACATCGAGGGACTGTTGCAAAGGAGAGCAGAGGATTCTGCTCCAGTATCCTACCAATATTTATCTCTCAACTAACATCACCAATCCAAGTTAGTTGGCCATTACCATATTGCACTTATTACAACCCACTGGCTTACTGGACACAAATTGGATGTCTTGTTTTTTAACATTATAACACTTCAAAATTACTTAATTAAATATAAAGGTCTTTGAGATGTTTTGAGGTTGTAATAAGTGCAATATGATGTGTTATGTCATATAGTCAGAGAATCAAAGAGCTGTACAGCATGGAAACAGAGCCTTCTGTTACTCATGTCTGGCTCTTATATTGTGGGAGCTAACTTAAGCATCACCATATCAAGTACAAATACTCTACAGGAAGCAAAGCCTATACCACAATGGCAGTTAACTATTACAATTCAAGTCACTCTTTCGTTCTTTGTCATAGACTCATAGAGTCACAGTCATACAGCATGGAAACAGACCCTTCAGTCCAAACAGCCAAACATAACCCCAAACTAAACTCCTCCCACGTGCCTGCTCTTGGCCCATAACTCTCCAAACCTTTCCTATTCATGTACCTAAGTGTCTTTTAAATGTTGGAATTAGACCTGTATCCATCACTTCCTCCGGAAATTCATTCCACACGCGAACCACCCTCTGTGTAAAAAATTTGCTCCTCCTGTCTTTTTAAAATCTCTCTCCTCTCACGTTATAGATGTGCCCCCTAGTCTTGAAATCCCCCACCCTAGGGAAAAGACACCTCTTATCAGCCCTATCTATACCCCTCATGATGATATTAACCTCTATAAGATCATCTCTGAATCTCCTACGTTCCAGTGAAAAATGTCCCAGCCTATCCAGCCTTTCTTTATAACCCAAACTTTCCATACCCAGCAGCACTGTGTAAATTTCTTTTGAATCCTCTCCAGCTTAATAATATCCTTCCTATAACAGGGCAACCAGAAATGGACGCAGTACTCCAGAAAGCACACTGATTATAATGGAATTCTTTCTTATCCAACGTATTTTTCATGTTCACTATTCTGTTCATTATTCTTTCAGACTAATTACCACCATTGTACTGACATTTACATCCTTAGGAAGGTTTGAATTTGTTCACATTGACTGCTGCATGTGCAGGATCGCACTGTTTTGCAGATAATGGATAAAATAACACGGTCTTTCACAAGGAAATGCTGTGTAACCGTAAATGTTCATGGTGGCTTCCCAGCTCGACATTTATTTGGACATTTTGATGTCACAAGTGTTCACCACAACACTGCACAATTGAAGATAACACAGCATGGAGCTGGAGGAAAGCAGCATCAGAGGAACGCTGACATTTCGGGTCAGGACCTTTCTTCAGAAACCTCCTTCAGAAAGCCTTCCCAACCCATAGATATTAATCTGCCAATGCTATCATAAAACCGTAAGGTATAGAAGCAGAATTCAGCCCATTGAGTCTACTCTGCCATTTAATTGTGGCTGATATGTTTCTCAACCCCATTCTCTTGCCTTCTCCCTGTAACTCTTGATCCCCTTACAAACCAAGAACTAATCTAATCCTGAGGAAGGGACACTGAACCTGAAAAGTTAACTCTGATTTGTCTCCACAGATGCTAGCAGACCTGCTGAGTTTTTGCAGTAATTTCTGTTTTTGTTTCCAGCATCTGCAGTTGTTTTGCTTTTTATTTAAGAACTAATCTATCTCTGTCTTAAAAACACTCAATGACATTAGCCTCCACAGCCCTCTGTGGCAATGAGTTCCCCAGATTCACCACCCTCTGGCTGAAGAAATTCCTCCTCATCTCAGCTGTAAATAGCTATGCCTTCACTCTGAGGCTGTGTCCTCAAATCCTATTCTCTCCAACTAGTGAAAACATCTTGTCCACGTCAACCCAATCCACGCCTTTCAGTATCCTGTAAGTTTCAATCAGATCCCCCATCATCTTTCTAAACTCCATCGAGTACAGTGTCAAATATGACATTGAAGGTACAATCTTACATAAAGGAAGCAGTGCAGACTTGATGAAGCAAGTTGGAAAAATTTAGCTTGTTCATATTATCAATCCATCGCCAACATTCTGCACCTCATAGGTTTCATTTTGTTTAGACTTGTGCAGTGCTTCAATCAACCAAGCTCTGGACTATCTCCAATACACAGTAACTTCCTCAAAACAAACTCTTGTCTGTTATTTTAATAAAGTTCCTGTTTATTTGAACATTATCACACATAGGAATTTCGTGTAATAGCATCTAGCAATATTGAAAATTAGAGGCAAATGAATTTTATTCCTCATTAAATAGCCTGTCAGTCTTGAATATCATAACCAGTGATGATTTGCTTAATTAAAACCAGCCTTTCCTTTAGAAACTCCACACCGAGCAGCTTTTAGCTATTATAATGCCACAGGCAATAGTGAGGATAAATACTAAATTGTTTTCACAAATTTTACCTTGTTATTTGGAAACCCCTTCCTTCTGTAATTTCACAGTGTAATTAAATGAAATGGGCTTTCTTGTCATGTCTACAGAATCTTTAATTGCCTTTGGATCAAGAACTAAACTTTTTGAAAAATTCAGTTTGTGTTTCTTAAAAATACATTCTTTAGATGTTGATGTTGCTAATAAAGCTAGCACTTCCTGCCCATCCTTAGTTTTGGTCATGGTTAGATTGTTTTACATGGCCATACACATCAGATGGTGGTTATAAGTCAACAACATTGTTGTAGGATTGGAGTCAATAGGGGCCAGAACAGGGCAGGATGCCAATTTCTCTTCCAATAGAATATTAATGAATCTGCTCCTTTTGCACATCAGTTCAACAGCTCCATGTTCACTGTTATCTAATCCAGTTTTTTTTTTAAAATGTTAGATTTATTGATTGACAGAATTAAGTTCATATAATCATGGTGGGATTTGAACTCAATGTCCCAGACATCCATTCCCAGGCTGTGTACAGAGACAGAGGAGAATTCCTGTCTGTGCAAACATGACCTTCAAAAAAGAAATTGCCTGGCTATCAGAATTTTGGCCCAAATAGATGTTCTGGGTGAGAAGTCGGGTGTGTGGGTGGAAGAATTGAAGGAGTTACCATGCTGGTTGAATGCCTAAGTTGGGTATCTGTTTCTGTGTCTGAAGTTCAAAATAAAGAATAAAATACGAAATATTTTTGCAAACCTCACCCCTCTACAAACATACGCCATGCTCCATCCCTGCTCCATCATGTGCCCACTTAACTCTATGGCCCCTCCAACCACTCCCATGGCCTTTTACATGCTGGTGCCACCTTAGTGCCTCTTCATGCTAATCCAAGCCCTCCTCCTACAACTCTTTGTCCTTGCAACCATGCCAACTCATGCTGTATCCATGCAAATAGAAACAAAATACTGCTGGAATAAACACAGAGCATGGTGGAGAAACTCAGCAGATCTGGCCATTCAGAAGAAGAGTCATACCAGGCTTGAAACATTAACTATGTTTCTCTCACCACAGATGCTGCCAGACCACCTGAATTTCTCCAGCATTCATTGTGTTTATTGCACACAGGATCCAGCATGGGTGGACTTCAGGCTGTATGCAGGGATAGGATAGAATGAAGTTAGATACAATAAACTATATCAAAAAAAAAGCTCATCCATAGACCACTTTTGGCTTCATTTATATTCCTTCAACTAAATAATCTCTTACAACATCATTTGATTCAAGTAACAATCCCTTATCACAGCACACATTGGAATTCATAGCCCCACATCAAAAGGTCCACCACTTCTAGTGGTTAATCAAAAATGAGAATTGGCAGGCACCCTGCTGTAATAAATACATAATTGTGAAATTATTCATCTTGCAGGAATACAACAATAGAAGCCCTCAATCTTATGTCAATACATAGAGTGAAAGAATTAAAGAGCAGGAATGTTTAAACGTATTAAACACATCTCTCTCTGACAGGTGATCTTGAGAGGTACTTTTTGACAGATCCTTTTGACAGTTTTGACAGTTGGTTTTGATAGGTCAGTTGACAGTTCCAATAAGCTTGACAATAATGAGCGTATGTACCTTTTATCCATTTTATGCCTTTTTTTTAGCAAATCCAAAGGGCAGCTTGCCTCCACCAGAAAATGTGTGCACATCCATTATTTTTATTCTTTGAACTCTACTGCCTGAACAGTCGCTTCTCCAGGTTAACTATTTAACTTCCGTCCCATGAGCTTTATTTTTAATTATGTTTCATTAACCTTTTCTCATGCAGAACCTCATTGACAGCCTTTTGGAAGCGCATACAGACTACATCAATAAACATTCCACTGTCTACTTCTTCAGTTACTTATTCAAAAAAAATTCAATAAGGTTTGTCAGACCTGAACTATCCTCTTTGAATCCACATTATTTCTCTTTAATCAGATCAAACATCTCTAAGTGCTCAGTTACTTCGTCTACTGACTGCCAGAGATGTTTGATTAATCTATGATTTCTAAATTATGCAATATATTTTTAATCTATATTGAATATCAAGTCAAATGCTGCTGAGCATTCAGACCAGTTCCAAAAGACGGTGAGATTTGCAAAAGTTGATGCGGTTTGAGCATTCATCTATTATCATTAGGCAGGGAAAGAATTTGCACACTTCCCTTAAGTGCATAGCAAGTGGAAGGATGAGAGGAAATCTTTCTGATCATTGAAAGGAACAGTCCGGTCAGTGAGAAGCAAATTGGCTAGGTAGAAGTAGACAGATGCATAATCATGGAAAAACGAGCACTCAATAAAAGCTTCAATTGATAACATGTCATTATAAATGGATAATTTGGCTAAATTTTAAATCTTGCTTCTCTACAATTCTGGACACAAAAATCATTTTACAATAAACCACTTGCTAAACTAGTGTTGGTACACTAAATTGAAGTACTCAGGAAATTTGACTGAGTTCTGAAGCATGTTATTTCATTTATTGGAATCTATTACTAAATGTCAAAATAATGGTATCAATATTATTGAAGAAATTCTACATGAACTTTGCTGGATCAGTCTTTTGCAATTTTCAGTTGGTTCAAATCCACACTGTAGTGGTTTTCCTAATTGTTTTCAATGTGCTAACAATTGAAATAGCGCAGGAAGTATGGATGTAGGCAGCCTTGTTATAGACATGATGCAAGAGCTGAATACCAGATAAAGAATCAAAATAACAGTTCTCCACATCAAGTACCTTCCAACTGCATAGAGCACTGTAGAGCTCCAGCAAAGTTCAAGGGGAAGATGCTTTAGTAATTGATACACACAGGAAAACACTCACTCAATGATTGATAGAGGCTAATAAAAACAAGCCTTCATGAAAGCAAAGTCCTAACACAAACATCTTCATAAATGATGAGCCTTCCATTGTAAAGATGCAGGACTACTTGCTAATGATATTTCTAGTCAACCCATTGTAGGGATATTATTACATACCTTCAAAGTTAGTAGGATTTGAACCCATGCCTGCTGATCCACAGGCAGGGACACTAACCACTGCACTACAAGACCCAGTTCCTTGGTGGCTGATCACTCACAGTGTACAATTGCATTCACGTAGTCTCTATAATTAGCAGTCAAGGTTAGTTCCTTCACAATTGTTAAACCCATGACTGAAACATGCAAATATTTTACAGTTGAGGGTCTTTATAGCTCCATGTATATAAGGGTGTGAATACAGAAACATTTGCAGATGAAGACATGGGTGGAAAGGGTTTGTAACTCCTGAATCACAGTATTATTTTGAAAGATGCATGCAGTCACGGGGGCAAGATGGTTATAAGTAGGAAGTATGTTTAAATAGTTCATTCTTGGGAGGTCTAGCTGAACCCTCAGACTTTATCTGACCTGGAAATCCCATCAAACATGTTTCAGGATTGAGAGGCCATGAATTCTCATTGAGTGACTGGCCTGATCAGTTCCTTTCATTTGTGAATAGAACTGAAAATTGTCAAATAATCAGTAAAGAGCACGTCCCTGACCCCAAGCTGGAAGGAAGGTCATTGATGAAGTAAGGGCACTACAGAGGCTCTGCAGTGATATCGTAGGGCTGTAATAACTGGGATCCAATTGTCACCTTCCCTTGATGATCCTTGACTTCAGACAATGAAATGTTTTGTTTCTTATCCAACACTGACAAGTGATGAAGGGTTAGTGTGGCAGGTCGATGGGTTGGGGGGGAGGAGGTGGCAGGTGAAGGGGGTGGAATTGCATGCCAGATGCTCTCTGGAGTGGGGGTAGAGGTAGTTAGGTCAGATCAGGGGCATTACAGGGAATGAGGAACAGTCAGGTGGGTTGGGGGGTGATCAGGTTCAGTCAGGTGAGAACTCATCAGGCCAGGAGGTAGTCAGGTGGTGATAGGTGTAGTCAGATTGGGTGAGGGTGTTGGAGTGGAGTTGGGTTGGGTTGAGGGTTATCTTGGTTATTGAGTGAGTTGGGGGGCAGGCATTATCAGAGTTTCAGGGAGGGCGTGGCTCAGGTATAGTTGGAGGTTTGGTGGTTGTAGGGATTAATTTGGATTCAGGCTAACTTACTTGTAATGGATTAGCACCTTGAGTTGATTTGGGAGGGTGTCCATGGGTGATTGTCACATTGGGAAGGGTAGTCAAGGAGTGATCAGGTGGTCAGTAGATACGTCAGTGAGTTGGGATGAATTGGGAGGTGACAGAGGGAGTCAGCATTGGGATACTGCTCACAATGTGGTCTCCTCTACAGCAGGGAAATGAAGCATACACTGGGTGATTGCTTCACAGAACACCTTCTGTCTGCAAAAAAGACCCTGCGTTTCCAGTTGCCTGCCACTTTAATGCATCACACTATTCACTGGCCAACATCTCTGTCTCAGGCTTGCTGCAGTGTTCCAGTGAAACTCAGCACAAGCTGGAAGAAGAGTACAGCATTTTCTGCTTAGGAATTCTTCAGCCTCCTGGACTTAATATTGAGTTCAACAATTTTAAGGCGTGTGGCACCTTCTCCCATGTCCTTTCCCCAACACCCACACACCAGGTCTTGTTATCAGAGATAGTAGGAACTGCAGATGCTGGAGAATCTGAGATAACAAGGTGTAGAGCTGGATGAACACAGCAGGCCAAGCAGCATCATAGGAGCAGGAAGGCTGACGTTTCGGGCCTAGACCCTTCATCAGAAGACCTAGACCCTTCTACACCTTGTTATCTCAGGCCTTGTTATCACATGGTCTGCTATTACACCCAACGCATTGTTACCCACTAATAGTCCCCATTAACAGCTATTCATTCTCCTGGACTGACCGTTACGCACTCCTTTGTTTGCCCAACTGTTCTCTCTCTTTGGGCTCTATCTCCATCTATTGTTTACTTCTTACTCCCTCCCTCCACCCTATCTTCTGCATAAAATCCATTTCTTTCGTAGCTATCATCAGTTTTAAGGAAGCATCACCGGACCCAAAACATTAACTCTGATTTCTCTCCACAGATGCTGCCAGATCTGCTGAGCTTTTCCAGCAATAGCATCTTATTGTTGTTTTTGGGGAAGTTGCTAGATCAGGAGCTGTGGGAAAGGTCACCATAATCTCTGTCCGAAATGGGAGATTCTTTGTTTTAAGCTGTGTCCTCATTTCTAGTTTCCTTGCCAGATGAAACATCCATTTGACATCTACCCCACCCACTCCCCTCAGAATCTAAGATGCTTCAGTTAGAATGCCAACTTCCAGGTCTAACACCAAAGTTAGACCTTTGCTGTATTTTGAATAGTTTCAATAATGAAAAGATAAAAGAATCCAAGCATGACCTCAATTTCAATACTTCTCTGCTAATTTCTACAGTGAAGGCTTAAATTTGGCACAGCTGTTAAGCTTATTTGAATAACAATTATGGCTATAGGTGTCAGTTTGTAAGAGTGCCCTTGAAAACTGTCACCTTTCATCAACCAAAAAATGTTTCCCCTTAGGCATCATTTAGATATTTCAATAAAGCTAGAAAGTGTTTGATTGCTGAGAGTTACAGCACAATTCCAAAATGCCTGCATACCTATGTAAATAAAGGCCATTTCCTTTACATTGGGCCAGGATGCCCAATGCCCACTTTTCTCTTCTGCCATCCCTGAAGCTGTCTGGAATGGAATGGCAGAGGTGAGGATAATCTGCCTTTGCAGTACTGTTGCACAGTGATAGATCTGCACAGAAGACAGATGATTTGGGCGTTATTTTCAGTGTAAATGAGTCTAAGTCATCACAATCCAACTGGATTTGGGGGAGTTATGGAAACTGACAGAAGTTGGAGAAAGAACAATTTAATTAAGCCGAGCTGTGATTCAGCAAAAATCCTTTGATGACTGTGTGTCAGGGCAGTGAGAAGCATTCTAGGTGTTTTTGTGGTTCAGAAGCAATATTCTCCCCCAAACAAAATAGGGTAGGATTCCCAAATCTACAGCCCCTTGAATGTCAATGGATACACAGGAAAGGCTCAGGCAAAGAAAGAAATGTCTGTAACATGTTGAGAGCCCAATATATTAGAAAGCCTTGAGATTATAGGAAGTATGGTGATGAAAATAGAAGGAGTTCAGAAAAGCAATGAAAGTGCATAAAAAAATCAGTGAATAAAATCAAGGCAAACCCAAAGATGTTTTATAAATACATCAGGAGTAAGATGACATGTAAGGATAGACTGAGATAACAAACTGCAGATGCTGGAAAATCTGAGATAACAAGGTGTAGAGCTGGATGAACACAGCAGGCCAAGCAGCATCATAGGAATAGGAAGGCTGACGTTTTGGGCCTAGACCCTTCTTCAGAAATGG